ACTTCAAGTCCTGTGCAAAAACGCATGATCGCACGGGCCCGCCCGGTGCGTTTCAGCCTGGGTTGTACTTGCTTCAACTCCTGTCAAGTCACGAATAAAGCGAGTTCGTTTATATGAGATACTGCACATATGACGCAAACTGAGCCCGTTCGGTGCTTTCTTGGCCAGTGGCGATCTGTTTAGTCAAAGGCTGGCAGTCGTTTCCCGCCGACCCTCACTTTCAAGTAACTGGAGCCTCAAATCGAAAGGCTTTTGCACCTTTCAGTGGCATACGTTTCCCATCAACAGGGGGCCGCTCGAGCCAATTTTGAGAGCAGCTTTCTTGGTCGAACCACGTAAATGGAGGAACATTGGGAAGCAGCATTCAGCTGTGGTGCCAGTTCTGAGGGCTCCGAACTGACGCGCCTGAGGTTCACAAGGCCCTAACTGTAGCTTTCACGCCGCATTTGGTGTATGTATTAGTAGCGTGCATGTCAGTCAGGCTTCGTACCACCCAAGCATAGCTGAGGCAAAATGCGGCGCATTACCTCCCCGGTATACTTGGAACTGCCCGTATTTCTGCCTTGCCATGCCTGGACACTGCCCAGTTCACTGTCACTTCCACACGTAGTTCCAGGACTTGTACGATATCGGACGCACGAATAATGCCTAAGGCTACATTTTCTTGCAGCTCTGCCAGTGAATCTGGCCGAGGCAAGCCGAGCTTTGACAAAACGTCAGTTACTAAAACCCTGCTCAGTCGGGCTGCGAAGGGGAGGGGTGGCCGTCTTCTTACCACGGTAGTGATGGTGGATAGGAAGTGCAAGTGGGCACAGGGACAATAACTAGGAGTGCTAGTTTAGGTTTCAGGAGCCGTAGCAGAGGGGAAGGGAGTGAAATATTGACTGGAAAGGAGCTGAGACCTTGTCTGGAGGTAGGAATTGTGCTTGCGCTTCAAAAGCGCGCTGGAAAAAAGCCGATACGTGTGCACCGCAGTGCATTTCGAACCCTTCAACCAAGCCCTCAGACGAAGACGTTTTGCGTAGCCGGGCCGTGCCAAGTTCCGATAGCTGCCGCGCGAATGTGAACGATCCTGCTTCTACTGAACATACGGACGATTCGGTGTAAACAAGCGCGTGATATGTGGTCGTTTTGCATGAACCGCATTTTAAGAGAGGGGACAGCAGCGGTCGGGTCGTATTCGCGGTTGCTTTGTGTACCGTCGGAATGCTGCGCCTCGGCAAGCACTTGGATTTGCGCAGGCGTCAGGTGTAAGCGTTATTGAGTGTTTGCATTTTGAAGTTTTCTCCAGCATCTCGGCATTTCTTGGAGCGTGCAAGCTCCCCGCAAAGTGCATCGAGTGCAGTTGCTAGCTCAGGGGGGGGGGGG